GCCTCCCTTGTCGCTCAGCACCACGCACTGGCAGCCCGCGCGGACAGCCGCCTCCACCTGCACGGGGTAGGGCAGCAGGAGGGCAGGAGCGGCAGGCTAGTCGGCAGCAGCTCGAGCTGGGGGGACAGGCCAGCAGCGGCAGCAGCAACCAGGTCGGCTGAAAAAACAGTTTTCCCCGCGCCTTGCCCTTCCCACTGCCAACGCATCCCGTCAGTGCCGCGCAAGCCCGCAGCCGCCGCCCGCAGCCAGCCGGCAAGCCAGCCAGCCCACCGTCTTGCAGAGCTCCGCCAGCGCCTGCTGCATCGCGTCGGGCTGGCCCGCCGCATAGTGCAGGGAGAAGGTCTGGGCGGCCAGCGCCGAGTCGCCGCGCACCGCCTCCAGCTCGCTCTCCAGCAGCACTGGGCTCTTCAGCATGATCTGGTTGTAGGACCCTGCGCCCGGGTGGGGGGCGGGGTGGGGGTGGTGGGGAATAGGGTGATGTGGTGTGGTGGTGTGGTGGTGTGGTGGCATGGAGTGGAGTGGAGTGGGGTTGGGAGCACAAGGGGCGGAGGTCGGCAACGGTGCATGCGCGGCAGCATGCAGGCCACAACAGGGGCACAGAGGCGGGGCGGGAAGCCCGCAGGAGGGCAGAGTGAGGCCCTGGGAGGGAGGCCTGGTGGAGGAGCAGGGCGAGGGCCCTGCGCAGGAGGGCCCTTGCGCGTCCAGGCCCGCGCGGCACCGCCCCCAGCGCCGCCTCACCCTGTCCCGGTTGCAGCAGGTTGCCGCGCCCGCCCAGCCGCATCTCCAGGCTCATCACCAGCCCCTCGCGCAGCGGGTCGATGGGGGGGTTGGTGACCTGCGGGGGCGCCCAGGGGGAGGCGGCAACGTTCAGCGGTGCGTGCAGGCCACAGCGCCAGCTCGGGCCCCCATGCACTGGGTGCCAGCCAGGCCACCATGCCTCGCGCAGTGGACCTTGGGCACAGGCTGCCCGGCGCCCATGCAGGGCTCGGCTTGGAGGGAGAGGGCTGGCTGCCCGGCAGCGTGCAACCCTGGGCACAGCGCTGCCGAGGCTCCGTTTTCCAACCAACCAGCCGCAGCTCACGCACCTGGGCAAAGCGCTGCTTGAAGTAGTCGTAGAGCATGTGGGGCGTGCCCGCCAGCACCGGCAGCGGGCAGTCGTCGCCCATGCAGAAGGTCGGCTCCGCGCCCGTCTGCGGTAGGGGCAGGAGAGGGAGGGAGGGGCGAGGGTGGGAGGGAGGGGAGGGGCAGAGGCACAGGCAGGCGGGGCCAGGCATGCCCACCCCTCACCCACCCGCCACACACACCACCACCGCCGCCCCCTCCTGACCTGCGCCATCGACTCGATGATCATCTGCGTGTCCTCCTGCCCATACCCCACAGCAGCCTGCAGCCGCAGCGCCTCGCTGGCATCCAGCTGGCACTCGCCCAGCACCCTGCGGGCATCAGGCAAGGGGGTGGCGGTGGTGACCCCACGCCCAACCAGCCCATTTGTCCCTCTACACACATGCAGCACCACCGCCACCACCACCACCACCGCCGCCGCCACCACCACCACCGTCACCACCACCACCGCCACCAACAACAACACCGCCACCCGCCTCACTTGGAGGCGTTGAGCTCGGACAGCTTGCGGGCGCAGCTCTTGACCCAGTCGCCGTACGGCGCGCGCGTAGCAACGTCGCGCGCGATCTCGGTGTTGGTGCGGAAGGTGCCGGCGGCGAGGTCGGCGCACACCATCTGGCCGGGGCCCAGCCGCCCCTTGGCCACCACGTTGCCCGCGTTGCTCAGCACATCGCCCAGCACGCCCACCTCGGAGGCCACATACACCATGTCGTCGGCGGTCTGCGGCAGGGGGGCAAGGGTGGTGTGTGTGTGCTTGGTGTGGTGTGGTGTGGTGTGTGTGGGTTGTTGTGTGGAGGGTGCGGTGCATGGCACCATGTGAGATGAGGGCAGGCGCATGTGAGATTAAGGCAGGCTCGGGGAGGGGCGGCCCTGTCCTGGGCACAGCCCCGGGCAGGGCGAGCCGGGGCAGCGGCCCCGCCCTGCGCCGAGCCTTCGCACCGCCAGGCCCCCGTCTGCTGCCGCCATCCCGCCTGCTCCCCTACACCCCCACCCCCCACTCGCCCCACCTGCCAGAAGCGCGCGGGGCGCAGGCCATTGCGGTCGAGGCGTGCGCCGACCTTGATGCCGTCTGAGAAGACGAGCAGGGCGGGGCCGTCCCAGCCCTCCTGCAGACCCTCGTAGTACTCATAAAAGTGAATAACCTGCGGGCAGCGCAGGGGTGGAGGGAGGGCAGGAGGGAGGGGAGGAGGGGCAAAGAGGTGAGGGGCGCGGCGAGAGAGGGGAAGGAGGGTGGATGGGGTGCCTGGCCTGCCGGGCACGCGCTGGC